GCTCGCTGGCCGCGCGCTCCCGCCGCATGCTGCTCCTCGTGGTGTGGTCCGACTCGCTCCCGCTGCCGCCCGACTTGGACTCCCCGGTCTTCTCTCTCTCCTTCCTCCTCTCACTGCCGCTGCGATTGGAACCGCTGCTCCGGCTCCCTGCGAAGCGCGCGAGGCGAGGTTAGGAGACAGCTCGGGCAAGCCAGCAAGAGAGGATGCTCCTCCAGCCAAGGGGAGGACTACGGCACGCTGCAGCACTGCCCGCGCTCTCCGCCTCCTTTCAACTCTTCCCACAACCCTTCTGAGACGGCTCTTGCCCTGGCTCCCCCCACACAGGACCTCGCCTGAGCAGCCTGCTCCCTGCTGCTTCCCTGCACTGAACGCAGCACCTGCCCATCTGCCCGCGCATTTTAATCCTTTCTGCTCACCTTCACTGTGCTGGCTGCCTGCACTGCCCCCTCCGTAGCTGTAGCCTGGGTCAGGGAAGCCGGGGTGGGGGTTGTATGGATGAGGCGGTGGATACTGATAGGGGAAGGCCATAGGCCAGGGTGCAGCTCCTGGGTGGGGGAGTGGAGCCAAAGTGTCCTGATCGGAGGCACCACTGGAGCCATCATGATCGTGAAGAGAGAGATTAGCCATGTCTGCAAGGAAGAAGAGAAGAGGGGTTAATCCACACGGAAAGACAACCATGTGTGGTGAAGCTGCCTGTCCAACCCTGCTGATGGACAAGGATGGGGTACACAAGGGAATGAAAGAAGCTGGCACTCTCCCTGCAAGTCAATGCAACCATTTGTGCTTCCTGACTGGACAACAGCCAGGCTGTGTGAGTCTGAGCTACCACTCTAATACAGAGAGCAGCTCAGTGGGAAAGGACCACATCAGAGCTACAGCTCACCCTGCCAGTTACTTCCCCCATCCCTCTTATTTGAGCAGAACCTGGTTGTCTGAGCACCACTCTCTCGCCAGCACTGGAAGTTCAGAATGTGGAGATCAAGCCAGTAAAGACTAAGACTCTGCTATTGCTGTCCAGGAGAACAGATCATGTAGTAGGTGACACTGTCACCGCTGCTTCCAATTTCACGACCCTAAGCAGCACGAAAAGGATGTGGAAGTCTTCACTTCATCACTCTCTAACAGGGTCTGCAGAATAAGAGACCCATCCTGATGGACATGGAGGTACCTATGTCCCCACAGTGTCAGCAGAGCTCTGCAGGACCTCAGCCCCCCTCCGTCCTCTCCCTCCCACCCATGCCAAGTGCCATACTTCCACAGAGGTCCCCGAAGATGTAATAGCACTGCTCCGAGAAGGTGATCTTGTTCACGGTGTGTCGGATGTAGCCAGCCTTCAGCAGATTGCTGGCGTACTTGCGGGATTCACGGCGGTCTGTGAAGCCCTCCACATGGTGGTAGAGCCAATCCACCACATCCGAACCTGCCACCAAACATCACAGTTAAATACAGCAAGAGAGAGGCTCTTGAAGCAGTGGGCCATGCTGGAGCCAAGACATAGTGGGCCAAAAGCTCAAAGGGCACAGCCAAAGGTTCAGTTTGTGACTCTGGCCTGGTCAACAATCAGTTTAAGGTGACAAGATGCTCCCTTGGGCATCTGCTTGGAAAACAGGCCACCCATTCCCCAGTCCCTGCCTCTGCTGCAGGCAACCCAGTGTCTTACCAATGAAGGCATTGGGGATGGTGATCTTCAGCCACATGCGGTCACGCACCTCCAGGCCTGATTCTGGTGAGGCCATGGCTTTGACAATGGTGGCCATGTCGCTGTGGATGGACAGGTGAAAGTCATCGAGGCCTGTGGTGTGGTCAAAGGGAAGGGAGGCAGAGATGAGAAAGGACAGAAAAGACAACAGGGCAACATGGAAGCATCACACACAGGAGAAATGGGCCAGGGAACAATACATTGCAAACAGCTTTGGGGCACGTGCTGTGTAACCCCCCTTCCAGCCTTCAGGTGTTATCCTTCACACATCAAACATTTCCTCTCGTGCAAAACCCAGGCTAGAATCTTCATCCTCCTAGCTAGTTCCAAGCAGCTGAGATCCAAAAGCTGCCAACTGAGCCCACACAGCCCAGCAAAAGAATGCTCTGCTCCTCTCAAACTCAGAACAAACTCCCATCTTTTTGCCCCACCCAAGCTCTCCAGGTGCTTGCTTCAGGGCTCAGGATACTAGAATCACTCCGAGCCTTCTGCAAGCAACCAAGAGCCCTGTGCTCAGCAGGACCCTGCCCCACTGCAAGGCTGCTCACTCCCAGCTGCCTCCTCCATCCTGCCACGTCTGCTGTCTGGGAAGGCAATTGCTCCAGGACAACCTGAATCCCTCTGGGCTGGCACTCCCAGCCGGTAACTCCTGACTGCTCTGCGTCTTTCCTCTGCACCTGCCACTGCTCCTGGATCACACCCAGGCTCTTCCTCCCTCTTTATACAGAAGGCTGAAAAACGTGGTATTAACACATGCAGGCAGAAATCCCACTGCTCCAAGCAGCTGCCTGGTGAGAGCTGCCTCCCACCTACCCGTGGCAGGGCAGACCTTGCCCATCCCAGCTGACCCCAGCAGATGTATTGCTCCCTTTACAGCACAGTGAAGGCGAGGAAGCCGTGCAGCGGGTGGAGCACGGAGGCACAAGGACTTACGTTCAGTCTCTGGGATGGAGCTGGTGATGGAGGAGCTGGTGGAAGTGATTGTGCTCATGGATGGACTCATACCGTACGCTGGGTAGGTGCCAGTCATCGCTGCCGTGTGAGACACCCAGGCTGCTGGGTCAATGGGCCGGATGGGCTCACCTGCATTGAAGAAAGAGACAGTCAGTAGCTATAAGAAGTTATCCTTCATCAAATCAACCTCTAGGGAGGGACAGGGACTCAGTACAGCCCATTTCATCCCCAACATCTGCCGGGACTCACCCGGATCGGAGCATGGAGAGTCTGGCCCAGCCCAGATCCGCTGGGGAGCAACTGGGAGAGAAAGAAGAGAGGGAGGGTCAGCAGGAGAGGTGCAGAGGGAGAGATCCCCCTATGGCTCAAGGAGGGGTTTCTCTTGCCTCTGGCGCCCCGAGCAAGTGACCCCCCTACCCCAGTGAAAGGCGTCCCCAGCGTGATGTGGGAAGGAGGGCTGGGCTTACTATGGGCATTTTGGCCTGGGAATTGGACATAAAGGCCTCCTAAAAGGAGAGCCAAAACCCCGTCAAACCCCAATTCAGTGTCACAAGTCACACACACAGGGGAGGAACAAGACAACGACCAAGTAAGTGCTTAAGGCAGGGCTCTCACATGAGCTGGGCACCAGCGTTAAGGGTGGGTCAGCTATCCACTTACTCCTGGGTAAGGAGAAGCAGCCCCGAGGGCTGGGGTCCCAGCACTTGGCCACCGTCAGGGTGATGGGCCTGCAAGAAAAAGGCAAGAGTTAGAAGAAGAGCCCCGTGGCACAAACCCCCACCTGACGGGCAGATGCTGTACGTTTGCTCTCGCCTGCGAGACAGGGAGAAGCTGCCAGGCAAGTGCCCTTGTCCCCCATCCAGCTATGGATTTCCTTAGTGGCCTGGACAAAATAATGTGACCCTGCTGAGGGTTGCTGATGACCTTAATGTGGCAACCCCACAAAAAAGGGGCACAGACCTCAATTCACCAGTATACAGTCGTCTGCAATTCTTGCTTCAGGCATGAAAACCCAGGAGTGAAAACAACTCCAAAAACCTAAGTTCAGAGCTTCTGCAGAGGCACTAGCAGAGGTGGCTGAAGGCACAGCTCATGCACCCCAAGCACACAGCCTAGAGCTGCCCACGGACATAAGGAACAACGCAAGTCCTTACCCTGGCTTGTGCACGATCTCCCTCAGCACCCGCACAGCGTCATCGTTGCTCATGTTCTCAAAGTTGATGTCATTTACCTACAAACAATGCAAAAGAGGTGAGTCCCAGAGATGCGACCAGAGGCTGAGCTCGCCACTCGGCAGTGACTCAGCTTCCCTATGCCAAGCACAGCTTCCTGGGTTTAGCCAGGGAGGCTTCTGGGTCTTTTCTTACTGCCTTCCCAGGCCCAAAGATGGAGGTATGTGGGCGTGAAGTACCTGCAAGAGCATGTCTCCTGGCTCAATTCTGCCATCAGCCGCCACAGCGCCGCCCTTCATGATAGAGCCAATGTAAATGCCTCCATCTCCACGCTCATTGCTCTGTCCCACAATAGAAATGCCCAAGAAGTTGTATTTCTCTGCAGAGATGGAGAGAGATAGAAGTAAGACACTGTAAAGCAGCAAGCACAGGCAGCCCTAACCTCAGACAAACCACGTGCTAATGATGGTCACTTGCACCTCTGTCCCAAAGAGATGTTCTGAGATGCAGAGAAACTTTTGCAAGACCAGTGCTTCAAGACAAGCCACTCTCCTACAGAATCCATCTCCTCACTCCTCCCCGCATGTGCTCTCTTTGCCCCTTCCCTAGTTCCGTTTCCACCACCACCTGGCCTAGCTCTGGAGGATTGCAGACTCCATGCACATGTCCTACTCACCCATGTTCAGCGTGACCGTGATGATGTTCAGGGACATGGTGGAGTCTGTGATGCTGCTGAAGGACGATGACTGCAACAGAAGTGAAACATGAGATGTCCTCCTGTGCCTCAGCAACATTTCCAGCCCCACTCCCTCCACTTGTGCTCTCTGCCACTCCCCATGGCACCACAGCCACTACCCACAACTCCAGCCTTATGCTGGGAGCTTTGCAGAGCCAGAGGGCATCAGCCACAGTCCCTGTGACCTCCCCACACACCAGGACGTCGCCCGTGGTCCCTGCTCTTGAGGCTGCTGCGCTGCCTTGGGAAAGGTTTACGACACTTTACAAAGCCTCAGCGCTTGGACACCACCTGCACCCAGCTGCGCCCACAGCAAACAGCCAAATCCCCGATCAGCCCTGGAGCACAGAGTGCAAAGACCCACCAGGCTGCCCACCCTGCCCTGCCCACCCCTGGGTGCCCAGCCCCTGCGTACCCGCTCAATGCGTGGAGCCTTCTGTTTCCGCCGGCGCCGCTTGTGCCTCCTCATGAGGCGGGAAGCGCTGCTTTGCTCTGTTGAACTGCTAAACCTGGAGGCAAACAGGGGAGTCAGCTCTGCTGCTGCCCGGGGCGGGCTCTGACGGCCAGAGAGCCACACCAATGGCATAGGGAACAGAGGACTGCAGGGGCAGAACATGTATGTGGGGGACAGACAAGAGTAGAGGGGGCCGCTGGGTGAGATCTGAGACAGAGGCAGGTCTGAACAAGGACCCTGCAGACCAGGATTACTGTGCCTTGCAAAGGCATCTCTCTGTGCTGGGAGGGAGAGGGAAGCCAGTGTTCCTTCCAGGACCCAAGGTTTCCTACCTGCTGGTGGAGTCATCTTCATCTGAATCGAAGAAGCTGGTGGTCTCCAGCTCACTGCTCATGAGCGTGGAGGAGCTCTCGTACCCGCCCAGGTCACGGCGCCGCTCTCCCTTCACTGTACCATTCACCCTGGGTGCTATGGAAAGACAGGGCTCAGCGTGATTCAGACAGGCCACGGACAAACACCTACTTCCCCCATCCAAGGCTCACAACAGCCTTTTCAGAATTAATCTGCCCATTGGACAACCCCATCTAGTGCCATCTGGCTCTGAGTCCATCCTGGGATCAGATCCATCTTCTGTGTGATACCTCTTCTACCCCTTTTCAGGATGGAGAAGAGGCTGATGGGCTTCTACAACAATTCTGCCCAAGCCATGGAAGACTGTGGCTACTGTTTTTTTGGTAGACCAAGAAGCAGTATGGAATGCCAAGTCTACAGCACACTGCTATTCAACAAAGAAGGACTGAGGTGCTGCTGGCTCTCCCTCCTCCTCTTGAGGCTTCTACAGTAGACATCTCCTTTGCCCCTAAAGGTTTTGGCATGAAGCTCTGATGCAACACAAGGGTTAGCTCCTGTCTCCAGTGCAAGGCTATGGCCTCTTATGAGCTGGGAAGGCTCTGCAGAGCAGACAGAGCTGCCCCACATCTGGAGGTGGTGCCCCCAGCGTGCCCGAGCTGTGCCTTGCAGAGCTCTCGCTACGTTCCCGACGCTCACCATGCTCAGGCCCATCCTTCCGACGAGGTCGTTCCCGTTGCGATGACACCACCGAGTCTGTTTCTGTCTCATTGTCCAAGTTCTCCCGACTCCCCCCAGTGTTAGGGCTGTGATGAGATAAAAGGAACAACAATGTCCAACAGGGAATGATTCAAGCAAGCTCCCTCTCTCTCTGTGCTGGCCAGCACAAGCCCCCAGCCATTGGCTGTCTCCTTCTTGAGGGACAGGAGCAGAGGCGGTGGGGAACAACCTCACCACATCTAGGACAAAAGGACTGGGGGAAGCTGTGCCAGCTCTTTGCCAACCTCCCTGCACTATTTTCAGCATACCCTTGCTTGCTGAATAATGCAGCTCCACTTTGAATCTGCTCCCAGCCCCATCCTCCTCCCCTCTGTCTGGCTGTTATCTCTGCCAGTTTGGGTAGGAGTGTCACAGCCCCTGGTCCAGATTTACAGCACTATCACCGTGGGTCCCTTGGAAGCCAAAAGGGGTGTCCAGGTAACTTACTGGAAAGAGGGGGGCCTGGAGTCTCCAATTCCTCCCGTGCGCTCCATGGAGGGCGGCAGCTCTGTTTGGTTATCGGCACAGACGGAGCCAGCATCTGAATGGGAACCCTCTGCAGACACCAGCTGGAGGGACGAGAGACAGAGAGTGAAATGTCTGAGGCACTGGAAAAACATTTACGAGTGGCCAAACGAGCTGGCCAAAAGCCTGCCTGGCCCAGGATCGCATCTCTGACGGTGGACAACAGCAGATGCCCAGGAGCAGGTACAGAACAGGCCAAGCGTGTAGCAACATTCCCCCTCAACGCCTTCCCAGGCGCCAGCTCAGGAACTCCTGACCCAGTGGCAAAGTCGGGGTGGCTGACAGCCCTGCTCAGAGACTCTGACTTCATCTGCACACCCATGCCGCCCAATCTGGACGCTCAGGTCACCTTCAGCACACATCCTGTAGCAAGGAATGGGTGCCCCTGGTTCTTCTCACATAGAAGAGGCAACTACAAGTCACTCCTTTCTCCATTTCACTAACCTCTACACCTCTGTCTTCGAACTGAGGGTCCCAGCAGGGCTTTCACCTTCCCAGCCCACGGGAGCTGGGGGTAGCACAGCTCAGGACTGAAGCTGGCTTTGAAACAGACTCAAACATGCTCTTTCTCTGACTACCACATACACTTTGCAAACTCTCATGTCATGCCCAGCTAATTGGTTTAGGCATAACTTCCAACCAACCCCTGCGAGACTCAAGAGTTTTCCCAGCACAGAAATCTTAAGAGTTAAAGCCCAGGAACTCTGTATACCAGCCATGATTTGGGACAGCCCTGACACACCTACACCTGTGCCTCTGGCTCCAAGATAAACCATCCATCTCGGGGCTCAGGGAATGAGGTAGAGCCTGTCCTGGGAAGAATGGGCTTGCCCACAGGACCAAACAGAGGGGAGCTCAAATAAACTCATTGGGAAGTGGTTTCCCCAACATCACTCCCTATCCAGGTTTGCACTCTCCCTGCTTTCAAGCTGCACTGAGCAAGGTTAATCCCAACAGGGCCAGGCAGGAAAACAACAAAAAGCTTTTTTCTTGAAAGAGACATTCAGAGACCCCCAGAGCAGACGTGACAAGGCCCAGAAAGGAGCCCCTCCTTTGGCCAGGGAGCAAGTCCCCAAGGACAGGGTAGAGCTCGTGAGCAAGGGAAAATCAATTTCAACCTTCAAGGACCTTCCAATGTGCTTTTCACACCTGCCCCACGCCTGTCTCGGGCACAGCGTGGGCACGCAGGGGGGTTGGCTCTCCCACTGTCAGGGAGGGAGTGCAGGACCCAGCACCTTGACCTGCCACAGCCAAAACAGGCTGTGGGTCAGCCTGGAGTCAGTCCAGGGAGGCAAGGAGACCAGCACAAGCTTCAGTCTGTGTACTTGAGCCAAAGGAACCTCATTCTGGCAGTTATCTCTAAGCACATGGAAGAGAAGGAGGTTATCAGGACTAGTCAGCATGGATTTACCAAGGGGAAATCATGCTTGACTAATGTGATAGCATTCTGTGATGTGGTGACTGAATGGGTAGATGCAGGGAGACTGGCTGATGTGGTCTACCTTGACCTTAGCAAGGCATTTGACACAGTCCCCCAGAACATCCTCCTGAGCAAGCTCAGGAAATACGAGCTAGAGGAACAGGCAGTGAGGTGGGTCGAGAACTGGTCGCACAATAGAGGCCAAAGAGTGGTGATCAATGGTGCCAAGACCAGCTGGAGACCTGGAGCTAGTGGAGTCCCCCAGGGATCAGTGCTGGGTCCAGTCCTGTTCAACATCTTCATTAATGACCTCGATGATGGTACAGAGCGTCTTCTCAGCAAGTTTGCTGATGACACAAAGCTGGGAGGTTTGGCTGACACCCCTGAAGGCTGTGTGGCCATTCAGTGAGATTTGGACAGATTGGAGTGCTGGGCCAAGAGGAACCTAATGAGGTTCAACAAGAACCAGTGCAGAGTTCTGTACCTGGGCAGGAGTAATAAAATGCACCAGTGCAGGTTAGGAGGTGATCTGCTAGAGAGCAGCTCTGTGGAGAGGCACCTTGGAGTCCTGGTGGACAAGTTCTCCACAGGACAGCAGTGTGCCCTTGTGGCCAGGAGGGCCAATGGTCTCCTGGGGTGCATTAAGAGTGTGTCCAGCAGAACAAGGGAGGTCCTCCTCCCCCTCTACTCTGCCCTGGAGTATTGTGTCCAGTTCTGGGCTCCTCGTTTCAAGAGGGACAGAGATCTACTTGAGAGAGTCCAGCGAAGGGCTACGAGGATGACTGGGGGACTGGAACACCAGCCTTATGAGGAGAGGCTGAGAGACCTGGTGCTTTTTAGCCTGGAGAAGAGAAGACTTAGGAGGGATCTAATTAATATGTATAAATACATGGGGGCTGGGTGTCAAGAAGAAAGGGGCAATCTGTTTTCACTTGTACCCCGCAACAGGACGAGGGGCAATGGATACAAGCTGGATAACAGGAAGTCCCACCTCAACACGAGGAAGAACTTCTTTACTGTAAGGGTCACAGAGCACTGGAACAGGCTCCCCAGGGAGGCTGTGGAGGCTCCTGGCCTGGAGGCTTTTAAGACCCATCTGGATTCATTCCTGTGTGACCTGCCCTAGACTAGATGGTCCTGCTCTGGCAGGGGGGGCTGGACTCGGTGAACTCCAAAGGTCCCTTCCAACCCCTGACATTCTGTGATTCTGTGGAATACCAAGCCATCAGCCATTACAGGCAAAATCTGACCTCTCAACAGTGAGCAATACCCTGCTGTTGGTCAGTACAGAAGGATCACAGAATACAAGCTGGAAAGGAGCTGACATCTGTTACCCAGTGTAAGCACAGAGGCAGCTCTGCTGCTTCCTGGTGAGGAGACCACACCTGCATGGAGACAAGAGCAGATGCCAACCCAGGTGCTGGAAGCACAGCCTGTTTACAAAGGTCTTGCATGCTTCCCAGCATCACCGATGAAACACTAAGCTGTGTCCTGCCCACCTTCAGGGACTGGAGAAACCACGATAATGGGAGGGATGGACCCCACAGATGATCATCAGGGCAGGGGGGAGAGAGCTCTGCTACCAGGGAGGCACTGGGAACACAGACAGGGATAGGGCAAGAAAGACAGAGCAGCCCTGAAAAAGCCACAGCCAAGGCAGCAGACAGGGCAGAGAGCTCCCTGGGGTGTCAAAAGCTGCAGAGCCTGCCCCACAGGCTCCAGGACAAGCCCAGCGGCTCCTGCTTTCCCAACTGTCTAACCAGCTCTTGTCGAATACTCTCAGCTTCCCTCCCTCCAGTGAGCCCCAGGCACATGCCCAGCTCTGCTCCAGGCACCCTCCCAGTGACTTGTCTTCCCAGGACACATCCCACCCCCTGAGGGCCACATCCCTGCTCTGACAGTAACTGCCCAGGAGCACAGGGGAGAAAAGACATTGGAAGTGGCCAGCATTGCCTAGGGAGAAGTCATGTAACACTCTGTGCTTGGAGATCTCATGGCAAGACCAGAAAAATAGATCTGGACAGATGGAACTAGCCACAGGCAGCTGTCAAACACCAGTGAGGAGAAGAGGGTTGTTCCCAAGAAGGGAACTGATGCTGCCTTCCTCTAACACTCTTAGGGTTGGGATTTCCTCCAGGGAAGGTTTTGATAACCACCCCACACTTTTCCTGCCTCTTACACTGTCAGGAAATATTCACTTATATCCAAGCCCCCGTTTTTCCCTCTAGCTAAAATTAGTACCAACTTCCTAAAATAGCCTCACCCCAGCCTGTCTGGCAGAAGCAGCAAAGCAAGTGCTCCCCTCCCAGCCCCCAAACCACCATGGAAAAGGAGACTCTCAGCAGAGATGGAAAAAGGGATCATCAGCTCTGCACAAAGGTCTCTGTCACCCTTCACGCACAAGAGCTGGTAGCAGTGCTGACTGCAGGCAGGAGATCCCAGCGAGGAGCCAGCACACCAGAGAGCAGCGTGGTGCCCTGGCCACACCAGACCAAGCTGTACCAGATCTGTGCCGCTCAGGCCAAGCAACCAGAGAGCCCCTACAAGGAAAGCCAGCAGCCGTGCGGATGCGTGGACCATAAGGAAAAGCACCCCAGGTGAAAAAGAAGCAATGGAATGGGTTCAGAGATTCTGGGACTCACCACAGGGCAGGTGAAAACAAAAGGCAGCTGGAAAAGGCAGATGCAGCAGCAGTGGGATGGTGGCCAAGAGCTGGACAGGCTGTATTCTGAGGGGCTGGCTAACCACTAGAGGGAGGACGGCAGGCAGCCGGCCATAAGCTCTTTGTGTGGGAGCCCAGTGCACCCTCTCCTGCAGTCTCTCCTCCGGCAGGACCCCATCCTGTGTCCTGCTCCCCTGGATGGAATCCCAGGGGGACCCTGTCTGGCCACTCACCTGCCCGGTCCTGTCACACCCCCCACACCCCCTGAAATGCAGGCTTTTCATGGCCCCCCCCAGCCAAGGCCTAGCTCTTTGGTGTAGGGACAGAAGAAGCATTACGTCTGACCCAGCCTGATTTGCTGAGGATTTTCACTGTTTAGGGGCTATTCGATGGTCTGCAGAAAAAGGCATTTAGGTCTTTGTTCTGCTTCTGGCATAGATCCACGCAACCCCATCAGCACAAACTGAAGCTCAGCAGAGGGGAAAAAGGGATGATGGGCTATGGGGACTGAATACCCTCTTCCCCTCCCCAAAAAAAGAGGGTCTCCCTGGGTGCAGAGGGAGGCATGCGGGCAGGGGACAGAGCATGTGCATGGCACGGCACGGCACAGAGGGAGAAGCTTGTCCTGCAGCTGCCCAGGCAGTACCTTTAGTCTTCAGGGCAGCGAAATCCAGTCCGCTTCACCAGCACTAAAGTCAGTGAAGCCCTGTGTGCCAGCCACCGGAGCAGGACTTCCCCTGGACAGCCGACCCTGCCACAGGGGCACACGGGTTACGCTGCGGACGGGCCAGGACCACCTCCTCTGCCAGGCACCAGTTACTGTGAGCTCTCCCCAGAGGCACCCCACATCTTCCCCAGCACCACGCAGCCCCCTCTTCGGCGCAGGGATCGGACCGTGGTAATCCAGATCATCAGCTTCCTTAGTGGGCAGCACTGAGCCACCCCCCTGCTTAGGGTGGTTCCAGGGAGGGCAGAAATGGGCAGCGAGGTACCAAAGCAAGGGGTATGCTTACCCACGACACCACCCGGCCATTGAAGCAGGGAAGCTTGGCATTGTCATCTGAGATCTCTTCTTTCACCACCCTGCAGAGAGGAGAGGAGGCAGTCAGAGCTGGGTCCAGGGTTTTGGAGAAAAGGAGACCTTCCCAGGGGGATGTCTGCACCCAGCAAGAGGCAGCCCAGGCTTGTGGATGGGTTGGAGCCTGGACCAGCAGCTCCCTCCTGCTGCCAGGCTACAGCCTCCTGTGCCCACAGCCGCGACTGGCAGGCTGCAGGGGGAAAGACAAGGGCAGAAGAGGCTCTCTGGTGTGCATCCAGCTCTCTTATTGCCCCAATTCACATTTTAATCAGTCTAAAAAAAATAACCAGATGTGTTTCCACCAGTTGGCTTATTTCTAAAAAAAAAAATACATAATTTAAACCTCTTTATAATGACCTGAAAGAATCACAACCTATGCCAGAGATTTCCAATAGATGAAAGTGAAAGACATTAAACATGCTGCCTCCCAAATGTTACTGTTGCTTTTTAATTACATACATAATATTTCAACATCACTTCAAGCTCTATAGTTGTGCCACAATGTTCCTGCATTACACAGACAGCTATGTTATCATCAGTCTTCCTACTGGAGGGAGCACTAATAACTTTTGTTTTTCTCCAACAGTAAAAATATCAGTTTTCTTTGCAGAGAAAATGTATTCTCTCTCTTTTAAATACTACTTGGTACCTAAATATTTTTTTCACAGTGAGTCTGCAATCAAAACAACTTGTAAATTCATTGGATTCAATTAATACCATTTTTGATAAATCAAAGTTAATGGAAAAATAGGCTTTAACAGGTTTTATTCTTTTCTACTCAATGACAACACTTCAGACATTCTTATTTAATACAGACATCTTACAAGTAGCTTGTGAAATTAATTTCCCCTTCCAAGCAATATCTAAGGTAGCTTGATACATACTGCACTTAAAATAATGTAGTAAATAAACAATGAATAAATTATGTTTGGAGGGGGAGAAGAATCCAACAGAAAAAGAAAAAAAGAACGCACGTGAAATGGAGGGAAATGATGTATTAAAAAGAAGTAGCTTTTAAGTAACAGAGCACACAGAGGGGATCCCATCAGCACGTGAAGGGTCCCCGGGCCAGTGCCCAGCTCACAAAGGATGGCTGAGGATGCCAGCGCCGGGCATGGAGCTGTGACCCATTACCCCAGCAGCACGCCAGGCCTCAGAGAAACACGTTCCCTGGGCTCCTGGCTGCACTGCCTGGTGCCCCAACAGCTGCCCAAACCACACTGGAAAGAGGGCGTCGAGGCTCAGCACCACTCGTGAGGCATGGGCACCAGGCAGATGAGCCGTGCTGGAAGGCCAAACCCCGGGGAGCAGGCTCGCTCTGCCCGCCGGCCACGCTGGCTGCGCCGCTGGCACGCACCAGCCAAGGGCTGCCCCGCGGGGAGAAAGTCCTGGCTGGCAGCTGGCACCCACGATCCCTGCCCAGCAGCTGGCACCCACGATCCCTGCCCAAACTGAAGAGCCAGCAAAGGGACTGGACAAACGCTACCCGTCTCCAGAAGGCACGGATGAGGAGGTCACAGTTCGAGCGGTGTAATCCATTCCCAGGATGTGCGCTAATTCCTCTTGCACAGATGGAGAAGCAGGAAAAAGCAGGGAAGGAGCAGCAAGCATGGATTAAAACCCTGCCGGCTTAAAGCTTCTTCAGTGTGCCTTGTGGCAGGCCCTACTGCCCACAGGCCCCGCAGCCCAGACGGGTGTCAAACACAGGGGGTTGTCCCCAGGACCCGTCCCCTTTGGTGCCCATGCCAACCCTTCCCACTGCAGGCGAGTTGTCGTGTCCTCACTTCAAGCACACCCAGGCGCACACACATGCACCCTGGCCTGGCTGCATTAGCATCCATTTATACTGTCGCCAGCAGCCTGGACTTCATCCAATTCCTAGAGAGAACTTCAGGCAGAGCCAATTTTCAGTGCTGCATGCTGCCTGCTCAGGGACACAGAGCCCTGCCTGTGGGTGAATGGACAGGGTGATATATTTGCAGGGTCAAGGTGACCAACCGTTAGGCACAAATGAACTATTCCACTTCCAGTTGGGACAGAGGAAACCAACCCCCCCAGAACCCCCACCCACCCTCAGCTGCAACGCCGGATGGAGAACAAGCTCCCTCTGTCTTGAGGGCTGGTGCCTCGTCACTCCCGTTCCCCTGCTGCTGCCCCAGACATCCCAGGGGTCAGCTCCACCCCAGAGCCGTTTTCTCCCTCCTTACCCAGTCACTACATTATCACTGATTATCACCCAGATGCCAGAGCACAATGGATTATATATTTAGATTCCACAGAGCAAAAACTGATAATGCTGGAGCTGGGCAGATGCCGAGCAGGAATATCTCTGCAGCGCTGCTCACATCTGTCACCCCTTGCACCATCCCAGTTATTCATGCCCTGCATTCCTCTCCAGCCCTAGCCCTGAGCTGGAGCCTTCCTCCCCCCACCTCTCACCACTCTCTTCAAGTCACACTTCTCACACCGACCAGACTGCAGGTTCACATCAGAAGACACCAACCGAGCAGCCTCTGGGGGAGCTGTGAGCAGTGCCACGTTTCTCCTCCGCAGTTGCAAGCCGAGGCAGCCATGAGATGAATCTGTCCAGTGGGTGTGCTGGGAGGGAAAACCACCCTGGGGATGTGCTAGGAAAAGCCCCCAGCTGATGGGGTCTGAACCTGGGAATCCCAAAAGAGCACACCCAGAAGCAGCACAGGCTCTCTTCCATTCTCTAAACACGTTTACTTTTGGCAGGAGCCAGCACACCCCAGGGAAAACATCTGCCCAAGGCTGATTTCAAAGGGACTGCTTTTAGTTTATCATGCATCAGGGCAGTTCGTTATCAGATTTCCCCGTTTAAAGTCCTGCAAGGGGCTGGGCACAACAAGGTGAGAAGGACGGCCAGGAAAACCCCCTTTGACAGAGAAGCAGCCCAACCCTTGCCCAGGCAAGCGTGAGCTGAGGCGTCTCAGGGAATGGCCCTGTGACCAGATGCTCACCAGCACCATCCTATCTCCAGGGCCAGCAGTCATGCTGCGGCCAAGCTGCAGGCCCAGCACTCCCCGGCTCTCATCTGCCTTGAATTTTCCAACAAAGAGACCTGCGGGAGGGAGGAAGGAGGGAGGGTTACAGGGGAGGCAGGCTGAGTGGGCGGATGATTCAACTGCCATCCCCAGCGACATGACACGGGGCCAAGCTGGGGGGAGAAGGAGGAGGAGGAGGAGGGGACGAGGCTCTGGCTGCCGCAGAGCCCGGCTGGGGTGTGCAGAGAGGCTGCCAGGGCTGACACAAGCAGCACATCTGCTCCTATGGAGCTGGGGGAGGGGAAGGGGCATCCCCGTCAGTGGGGAGGGAAGCGGAGGAAACCCAGCTCCAACCCTGGCTCCATCCCTGCCCTCCCGCCAGCTTCTCCGGAAGAGCCAGCAGACCCTCTCCCCATGGCCTGGGAAGACGCCACGCTCCCAGCTTCCCTCCCCTCCCGGCGGGAGCAGCTGGCAGCCTGGAACGAGGATGCAGAGGCGGGTGAGGGACAGGCAGGCAGACGCTGCCTTCTCCAGGGAGTCCCAGCCCGGCTCAGGAAATTAGAGGGTATTTTATATCACAGAGTCATGTCCTAGGAATGAGGGGAAGGTGGGGAACAAGAGAGCGTGCACAGGAGAGAAAGGAGGCCGAGCCTGGGAGACGGCTGCGCAGACGTGACCGGCACAGCTGCTCTGCTCCGGCCTCCCGCCTCCCCTCGCTGGCCTCCAGCCCGGGCGAGGCTGCGGATACCAGGCAGCTTGTAGCTCGGGCCAGCTCCGGTCCCTCCCGAGCGGGACCCACTAGCCACAGCGAGGCTGTGCGATGGACTCGGATGGAGTAACGCAAGCCCAGCAAAGGAGGAAAACCAAGGACAAAGGTTCCAGCAGCAGGATTTGAACCTCAGATGTGGATCCGGGCTGGAGCTCAGCAGCTATCACTGCTCATCCCTGGTGGTCCTGTCCCCCAGCTTGTCTAAGGGCTTGTGGCAGGGAGGATGCTCAGAGAGCAGTGACCACAGGGCACGGTGGTGTTCGGAAG